CGGGCGTCCCATTCCGCGTCCGCAGCAGGAGATTCGCCATATCTTCCACACCAGCGAGTCGCAGGGGAAACCCTCTAGAATCCTGCTCAATAACGTATCGGAGAAGTGTTTTCTCTTCGATCGGATCGAGTTTATGTCGTTGGGGCTGGATGCGGTCGCGGCGTAGTCGATTGTTCATTCTGTCGCGTAAGGTACTTTCGGGGATACCGTATATCTTTGCAGCGCCTCGCGTACTAAGTTTATGACCTAGAGCACGTGTCGATCGGATCGCCTCAATAACAAGAATGATCTTATCTTCTTGGGTGTAAATCGGCATTGTGGTTGTTGAGATATTACGCGTCAAAGGTTTAAGTGGCTGGGAACAAAGCGCGTCATGGAAAAAGTGCGCGGCTGACTGATATGCGCGGCTGACTGGTAAAGTACGTTATGCCAATTCTCTTGCACTTTGACAACTGAACGACGACCGGCCAGTCGACTGCTATCTTCTTGCTGCCTACGGTTTGTCGATATTTCTGAATTGAGAAGAGGGTTTGTGTCTCATCTAGGAGGAATATGGGCCTGTACCATGTCGAATGTTAGATGCATGTATCAGAACTGCAATGCTCAAGTCTGCGCCTTCAGACAGTGAGCTTTCTAGGAACACATTCACATTAGGTAGTCTTTTGGTAAGAGTTCTTGGAGAAATAACTTGAATAGACTTGAAGTGTCTTTCGGCTCTGCTACATAACTCTAGAGGGCTGTCTAACATCTGACTACAACTCACCTGGCATAGGCTTAGAAATACCCATGGATACCCACGAGGACCCATTACCCGTCACGCAAGGGCCCGTGGGTAACCACGAATAGGCCTTTTCCCTCGTGGGTACCCATCAGGAAGCACCCAAGCTTGGGTATCCATGGGTACCCGTGGCACGGGTACTCTAAAAGCCCTACATCCGAGTTGAGGTAAGCATTTGGCAAGTTATTCTAGGGTATCTCAACGTGCAAGAAGGAAGTCTTCAGCAAAGAAGAAGCCGTAGTATTATATGAAAGCTAACCAGTATCATCCAAGACAATCGCGTTGAACAGGACAAAACAAATGAGACAACTCTCTCTCTCCCAAATGGTGTTCCTTACATCAAATGCACTTCATCATTGCTTCCAGAGTTTGTACGGGTTTATCAGATATACATCTACCATGAGGCAGGGCCAGTCGTGAGCAGCCAGACACAATGCTTCCTAGCTAGTGCTACGCATCTTCCTTCTTGTCCGCCTTCAGAGGCTTGCGTCCATAAATCACGTAGCCGTTCCAGTAGGCATGGATCTTTGGGTCCTGGATATCCCTTCTGGTCTGCGCGCACAGAACCAACGTTTCCTCTCTAGTCCAGCCCAAAGTGCGAGTAAAGTTGGCCAGTGCCAGGCCCTCCAAACCAGGCAAAAGCGATGCTTGCGTCCAGAGACCAATCTCCTTCAAGCGCCTGTCTTTCGGCCACGGCGAGATGGGGAACTTGAGAGGGATCTTGACCACATCTTCGAAGCCAGCCTCCCTCATAAGCCTATCGAAGGTGTGCGTTTTGCTGATCGTGCGACCGATCTCCTCACACGCCTCGACGCCCATTGTCGTGTACTTGTAGATGGCCATGTCCTCGGTCATGCTTCCATCGTCACAGACTGCAGGCCACTCGCTATCCTGGATTTCCATCCAGCCACCGGGCTCAAGGTGGTTGTAGGCCTGCTCAATAGCTGCTTCCCAATCGGAGAAGCAGCCGATCATATTTCGCGCGAGGATGAAGTCGAAGGGCTTGGTCCAAGTCCACTCCTTCTCAACATCATCAATCTCAAAAACGCAGTTCGGGGGAACATAGCCCGGCTGGATAGGGCTGAGGTCTACGCCAATAACCTCGGCGTCAGGGAACGCGTCAGCGTAGTCGAGGGCCCATATTCCGGTGCCAGTTCCAAGGTCCAGGACGCGCTTAGCGCCCTCGTTCTTCGGGCACATGCAGAATCTGTTGTCGAGAGTGACCATCCAGACATGGTTGACGATGTCGAGGCGCTCCTGCTCCAGATCATCGTTTGGCAGAATGTACTTGCCATCACTGAGGCGGTGGTACGTACGGCCGTTCTCACGGCGGTAGTCGAGAATCGTGGGGCGAAGCGAGGCCTGCGAGTCATCGGTCGTGGAGTAACCGTCGATCGAGACACCGTCTGCGTCTGGTTCGATCGGACCCGGCACATCGGGTTCGAGCTCAGGCTCAGACTCCACAGGAGACTGGGCTGCCACTGGTGCAGCGATCGGCGTCGATGGATCGGCCGTGGGAGCAGCCTTTGTGGAAGCCGTAGGAACAGTCGTGGAAGTAGGAGGAGGAGCAGTGGGTGAAGCGGCCGTGGTAGGGGCCGCAGTAGGAGCCGCAGGGGCGCTGGCCTCACTTTCTTGTTGTTGACCGGTCATTTTGACTTTCGCGTACCTGGATTTCGTCTAAACACCATTAGTTCCCGCTCGCGCTAGAAAAGCGCAAGCTCGCCTTTTATCTGGAAGCAACGCAACGGAAGGGCTGGGACACCCCTCTTCGCAGGGCTACCCTCGTTTGAACCTATCCACTTCAATATGCGGCAGGCGGTTCGTATGCCACGGCCCCACTTGCCGTTGTTGGCCTCGACGTCGTTCCTTAGCGGCCGGGACGGCGTCCCGCCCCAATCGGACTTGCAGCAGAGCTCCACTGCTGCAGTTTGCTGTAGATTTTAGTTCCAACAGCATATTGCATTCACTCTTTTGGATCTGTCGCTCCGAGGAATTCGCTTCCGGCGGTTGGTGTGGTTGGTCGTCTTCTAAGATCTGCCTCGGGGACGGCCTTCCGCGCCGATGTCCATAATAGCTTTTGGTTGTTGAAGAACCCAAATATTCGAAACATTTTGAAGGCAAGATGTTGATCACACAGTCCGGCCAGGACGTCCAGGTCCAAACCGGAAGACACGCTCGAATAACCCGCACAGTGTTTCAATCTTGTTTTCAAGCATACGTAGCTAGATATACACAATCTTGGCCACGCGCCCGGCACCTTTGTTCTGTAATGTAAACAACCTTGGGTTCTTGAGAACCTTTTTAATAGCCCCGCAGAGGCTTGACATAAGACGACAAGGTTAGCAATCCCGATTTCTAAGTCAAGCCCGTTGCAAGAATTTCAAGACCTTGAGAGATTCTTGCCATAGGGCTCGGTTGCAGCCTAAATGATTTTCTAATTATTTAAGCGCCATGACTTCCCTAATTCCTCCTACGATTCAACACAAACACGCAGTCACCGAGTCTATCAAACAATAGGAACGGACATAGTGATCTCGACAAGATGTCTTCAACATCACTCCCAAGGTAAGGTCCTGAATCATCTTGATTCTTCCTGCTAATCGTCATACCACGATAGCTCTACCCAGTCTATACCCGTCACATTCAAAATCGGTCGCGCAGGCACCATATTTTACGTTCACAGTGAGCTTCTTGCAGCTCAATCTCCGTCACTAGAAAAGCTCGTGGTGGAACATGCAACGGAACAACATCATGGCTCGGTCCATTGGGGAGACGTTGACGAGGCGATCTTCAGTCGCTTCGTAAGCTACATCTACACGGGTGACTATAAGGAGGCAAAAGTCGTCCCTCGTCATGGCATGATTGAATATGATGCCAAAATCCCTGGCAAAGAAGATTCCGCGGTATCAGAGACTTTGTCCCAGTCTACAGATTCATCGTGGGATCAACCTGCACAGCGTCAGCCGAACCAGCGACGGCGCAATCGCAAAAGGCCATGGAGTCAGTTTTTGAACCTGCACCCGGAACCGACACAGCCGGAGGAATTTGTTGATGGGAGGGGGGACCATATCGAGCTTTTCCTATCCAACGCGGAAATTTATGTTTTTGCTAAAAAGCACGACATTGAAAGTCTACAGGAACTGTCACTGCGCAAGCTAAGGGCAGCCCTTGAGGAACTTCTTCTAGATGAGTTCAATGACGAAGCCATCGGCGATGTCGCAGATCTTGTCAAGTATACCTACAAAGCTACGAAGCACCAGCAGGATGACAAGGAGCCGCTGAGACATCTGGTCACTCTGTACGCGGCTTGCAAGATAGATATTTTGTGGACGTGGCAGAGTTTCCGGGACTTGGTTGAGAATAATGGTCAGCTTTCGAAAGGTCTCATCACTCACATGTTGGGCCGCCTCTGATCTTGACAAAACCTGGCTGGATTTGAGTAATTAGTACTGTTCTCAAGACTATCAAGCTAAGAGCCAATGAAAGTCCATGGGCTAGACAACGGAACTCTTCGAAGGATCGATCATACTCAATCAAACTTACTACATGCACTCGTACCTGAATAGACATGTACGATCAGGCCCTAACCCTAACCCCTGTCACTTGTCTACCTTTTTCGCTTTCTTGGTTTAAACTTTTCGCCTCATACCATAATGGTTACATCATACATGCAGTGCTTCTGAATAATCATTCAGTGGTTCTGAAATTCAATTCTCTAACCTTGTCTCTACTCGTGTTGCGCTACATCCCAACAACTTCCACAAAGCTGTTCATGATGAAGAAGAAAAGAAAAAGATAAATCAGACCAGATATTACCACAATACTTTGATTAAAAGAGCGCTAAGAAACCTATCTCTGAAGATAATTTGAATTTTTTCTAGTTTATGAAGTCCCTATGGTGGAATATTAAAGTAAAATGCAACAGTGATCGCGGCGTTTATCAAAACAGCCACGCTGGTGAAGGCCTTCTTTCCCAGTACATAAACATCAACCTCGACTTCTGCTGTTGTTGGCTTGGAGAAGTGACCCAGTTGAATCTGTCCATAGCCCGCTAGTACTGAATCAGTCATGAAGGCAAAGGCGTGTTCCAGTCCAGACAATGTCGCATCTCGTTCTGATACCAGACCCTGTGCGTTGAACGAACTATTCCAGGCGGCAATGCTCGCGAGAAGGGCATCTCCAAGTACAGAACCGGAGAAGCTCTGCAAGCTGTTTGACATCGAGTCAAGCTCTCTGACGGCGCTTCGCGTCAAGATGCGCTCTGGATCGATGTCCTGAACGTCATCACCGCTCATTGGAACGACACCGACGCTCTTATCTTTGACATCGACCGTTACCTGGAACCACGTAGGCACAAAGTCCACTGTGCACTGCGTGGTGTTCAAAACTCGGTACTTTTCTCCTGCAGCGATGGAGATGTATCGTCGAGGTGACTGAGGGCTGTCGGCGACACCAATGGCGACGATGGAGTCTGAAGTTGCGCCAATGTACTCGGACCATTGAGCACTCCCCACAGAGTCGGGTAGGAACCCAGTGACGGTAAAAGTTCTATGAGGATATTCTTTCCCAATCCGGAAGTTTGTGCTGCTGTTGTACAGACACCCAACCTGAGGGAGGTAGCCGACCTCCTCAAACCGGTATTTCCGGACCGACTTCTTGAGGCCGTTGTCTGTGATGCTCACCGATGAGGCAACTCCGTACATCCTTCCTTCAAAGATATAGTCTGTGTTATCGAGCTTGGGTTGCCTTGACGCAGATAGCTTGAATCCGATCAAAGATTTCAAAAGGTTTGGGCTGATGGAAGAAGTGGACGTTCCGTCATTCGTGTCGGCCACATAGTTCTTTATGAACGTCGTGTTTGCGAAGGATGGGATAGCAATGCTGCCTGCAACAACCGCAGTACTTCTTGTCGGCATTATTGCGCCAGTCCATAGTGCTGATGAGAATACGCCAAAGATAGACAAGATGACAATCCAAGACAATGACGTGGAATATACATCTCTGCGTGTTCCAAGATTTCTGTGCGAGATTTCTCTCTTTGTATCGCTCCATGGCATGATCGTATTGGCGAGAAAGCCCGAAAGTACATTGTTATGGATCAGATAGGCAATCGCAGAGAAGTGTGAGATGGTGATGGCGTAGGCGGCAAGGCGGGCGACGAGCTCAAAAGCAGCGCGTTTTGAGATGTTGATGTGTAAAGCGTTCAAAACACTCCCAGTCAGTTGAATTATTGGCCGGATGACAGAACATGTCGAATCATTTTCGGCCAAAGAAGATTCGTACCAGGTGGGGTCAAGAGCCCATCCGCGAGAGTCCGAGATAAGGAGCACCAGACTAAGAATTCCGGTGACGCACAAACGTGCCGAGACGTTTTGTCTTCTCCAGAATCCCGCTATGGAGATCCGCCTTTGACTGAAAAGTGTGCTCATGTTGGTGGTTGCGAGCAGCTAGTCCAGTGAGTGCATCAAGCGTCGTGCGAATCGTTTGCGTCGCGGAACTGATGCTTGGAGGGTCTGCAAGACTGGCCCACAGGAAGCAGAATGTTGTTTAGGAGAGAATCAAAATGGCCCAGCCTTCTCCTGTTTGCAGGACGCTTTGTAGTTATGTCGTTGGTTCCGGGGTGCTGCATCTCTTGTTGGTGCTCGGACCCAATCAGAAACGTTGATTTGCCGCTCGAAGATGCAACCCCCTGACTGCGCCGCTCCGCTCTGGCGCGCGCCTCACTACTTGTAATCGTGCCGTTCTACTATGCTGCAAGTTTAAACCTTCGTATAATTTGATTCGATGCATCGATTTGGTGGAAGATACTGGTCTTGGAGAGGACTGGTGAAAGAGGACCGGCGATGCGATTACTCCTCAACCTTGATGACACAAATGAACTTGCGAATGACCTCTTTGTGCGCCGCACTGAACCCTGTCACGTAATGTAAAGAGTGGGATCATGATGCAAGGGGTTGTGTCTGAATTCAGGTAGACAGCCGTTGGTCTCCTTGGCACTTGCTTCAAGCATCAAAAAAGACGGGAATTGTGTTCCGTACCTACTCAGTTTAAACGTCTTCTTTGTTAGGCAAACTAGATTCTTCAATGCCAGAATCTGTGTCACAAAAGGGATGAGAAACTTCTGTGTTGGTGTTGAGTGCGAAATGTCAAATTGGTACAGCTTTCCTCGGTATGAATCCATGGTTGGACCTCATTTAACGTGCATGCTGCCAAGCATGAGAGCAGCAGCCCCCAGACTCCAAATCGTGTTGGTAGTACTTTGAGTGAAATTCCTGACGAGAATCTACCAATTGCAGTGATCACCGACGATGTGGCACAGCGACGAAGTCTGGCCCGCATGCTCCAACAACTGGAAAAGCAGGGCAAGTTGGAGAATACCCACCATGGTTGACACTTTCATGGGCATTGTTCTTTGCAGTTGTTATGAATTTTGTGTTCCTTTGGGAAGGGAGTGAGGCACAGCCAAATTGTGTTGTTGGTGTGCCATGTTATGTTCATCCCCTTCTCTCTTTTGTTTCCTCCCTCTCTTCCATGCATTTGTATTCTTCATGTTTGTCGAGATTTGTCCAGTGTCTAGTCATGAAACTTAGTTTCCGAGGCTCATCTGCAGCCTTTTACTTTTGGCTGATACATCACTTGACTACGCTCACTCAAGCGGCCAGTTCGGCCCCGTTCGAAGCGACATGGTCATCAGCAACATTCGGTCCCGATGGCCCGTGGCACGCAGTTGAGGTCCACGTCGGCGAAAACTCAAAAGTCGCTCTGTATCCGGGACACACATTCCAGTCCCTCGTCATATCCACGGACTATTGCAAGCTAAATAGCTCCAACGGTTGCTACGCACCGAAAGCAGGGACGTATAATCGAGCGCAAGCTTTCCAAGATGGTACCGGATCTGCGTCTGGAATTCAGTACAAACCACCGCTCCACGAGTGGATGGCTGGGATGGACGTGCGTGGCACCCTACCTACCTCCTGGGTGGATTCAATAGCGTTGAAGTCAGCCGCAACTTCTGGACCGACACATCAGGTCGAGAATGTCAGTTTGACACTGGTGGAAAGCCAGATGATCGCGTATCCCGGCGGTACATGGTATCCTGCTTTTGTTGGGTGCCTAGGCACTGGGGCTGCGGCAACTGTCAATCAGTCCTTCACAACATCGTCGTATCCGATTAATGCCAGCCTGATACCTGGTGCGCTCTGGTTCAACGACAAAATACCTTCCAACTCATTCAGCATGCATATTGGATCGGTCTCTTCGCAGATGGCGGGATCTCTCTGGTTTGGCGTATACGATCAGAACAGGTTGATCGGGGACGTTTGGGTGGCAGACGAGGACTTTGTTCGGAGTCCAATAACTCTCAAAGATATCGCTATTGATGTCATCCAAGGAGCTTCGCCGTTCGACTTCACCGCCAAGAGTGATCTCTTAGCCGCAGGGAATACGTCTATCGCCAACGGGCTCCCGGTGGCTGTTGATTGATGTTCCCCTTACCTTACTTTACCAAGATCAACCTGCGACAATATTGCTGCGAATCTCCCGGTTACTTTCAACGCCAATCTCGGGCTGTATATCTGGGACACAGAGTCTACAAAATATCGCCAAATCGTTTCGTCAGCATCAGCATTATCTTTCACCTTCCTCTCCGACTCGAACACGAAGACGACTACGGTCCGTGTGCCGTTTTACCATCTCAACTTGACGCTATCCGAACCCCTCGTCGATTCACCGATGCAATACTTTCCTTGCTTTACTGGCGGCCCTGGCACATACAACTTAGGTCGAGCGTTTCTCCAGGACGCGTTTCTCGGTGCAAATTGGGGGCAGTCTAAGTGGTGGCTTGGTCAGGCGCCAGGACCCAACATCCAGCTGTCTCCAAGCGTTATTGAGATTACCGAAGATGATGTTTCCATCAAAAGTGGCAGCAATGATTGGGAACGATCGTGGGAGGGAGCTTGGAAGGCCTTGACCGAAGACGAGGCAAACGGCACCACTACCGTAGAACCTCCCGCGCAGTCTGGCGTGTCGAGCAATGACGGTCAGAAAGAAGACTCTGCTGTTCTTTCAACGGGAGCCAAGGTAGGCATCGGTTTGGGTTGTTCTGTGGCAGCGCTTGCTGGTCTTGGCGCGCTGGTCTTTTTCTACTATTGACGGAGGAAAGCAAGAGCTGTAATATTGGATCAAACGGTCATGGCTGAATATCAGAAGGGCCCTGCAGAGATGCATGGCTCTTCCCCTAGCGATATGGCACCTATGAGTGAGCTCGAATCGCGGCCAGTGCCAAAACAAGCATCACATGATCCGGTGGAGTTGCCGTATTATTGCCAGTAAGGCAGTAACTCTGGGATTTATCTTCTTCATCTCTTCATCCCTTCATCTTCTTTTAACGTAATACTTCAGGTCGTCAGACTTCTAGTATTAGTAGCTGAGTTGTGCCGATTATGACTGTTGTACAGTCATTCCTACATTTATCCATCCTAAAGCGGTCACTTAGTCCAGCTGCAATTGACAACGTTGATCATAATGAATATATCCTGAGTCGAGTCAATTGTCATATGGTGTGTACAAGTTCTTTATGCACTAGCTTGAAGCCTCTTCAGCTCTTCCTGTTTCATGCGCTCTTGAATCTTCAGTCTTCCTGGAATGACTCGCTCCCTAGGCGCCGTGATCCCCCACTCAGGCAATGACTTTACACCCAAAGCCTTCAGAGTCGCCTGCTCCACCAAGCTGAAGTCTGATCCGTCCGGTCGATGGAACCGATGCGGTTCTTTCAGTGACACAGGCGGGTTTGTGATGATACGCAACTTCCGCAGCTGATTTTTCGACGCGCTGTGCAGCATCAATGGATGGAGGAGGTACACATCGCCAACCTGCCCAACAGCTTCGAAAAAACCCCCACAGCTCTCAGCAAGCGAGTTGAACCAATTTAGGTTCCTCTCTGCGGCAAAGTCGGGATGACCCCGTGGCACCATCCGTGGCGAGACCCCGTCCGGATGTTCGTACAAATGCTTCGCAACCTTTGGAATTGCTTCGGGGCAAATCACAGTCCCGCCGCCGCCGGGGACGATGTCCGTAAAGAGGGGTATGACGAGCAGGCCCTGCTCTGCGGAGTCGAGATAATGGACGAAGAAGTCGCCATCCACATGCCAGCTGTCGAGGTCCTTGGGGTTCTGTTCTTGCCCCTCAAACTCGGGGCTGCCAAGATTCACGATGAGGGAGTCACGCCAGTATTTCGAGTCGGGTGCGATGCGGTCTTCGCCGCCGCAGACTTCACAGATGGCTGCCCATGCTTTCGGTGCGAACTCGGAGCAGTCGAACGTGCGGTGGGAGGGCATGTTTGTACGGTGCTTCCAGGTTGACCTATCGATTGGGTCCATGCCCAGACGGGTCCAGACGTCTTTTGTCAACCATTCTGCCTGCTCTTTGGTAAAACAGTTGCTTAGCTTCAGCCAGCCGGTGGTCCGGAAGTGCTCTTTCTGGGCTTCGGTGAGAGGTTCTGCTATCGGAGACATGATTAAGGAATGAAAGGTAGCAGACGAGAAGAGGCAATGAGTCGTAGGGGTGGGAGAATGTGCTTGGTTGATATAGACCCCCACTAAGGAGCCAGGGACCGGCATCTAGTCCCTCGAACGGGAGCGAGGAGATGCGGGGTCCGGAATAAGGTATGCAGAAGTAGTCAATTAAGCTGCGTCTGATTGGATTGGTTTCAAGACTTTCTGAGACCTCAGAAGAGACTAGATGTCCAAAAATTCAAATACGTCAACGCAAGCAGTGCTCGGAGGAAAGATGCCGTCGTGAGGGTTCATATGTAGTCAGCGACTTCGACGGTTTTGAAGCTACAAACGGCCGCGCCGGCTAAATGGAAATTCTATGGGTCTCTTGCCGATCCCCCACCTAGAAGAAAATCCAAAAGTTTGACGGCCTTCAATGCGAAGGACGAGTCTAATTCGGGAGATAATGGCAGAAATGCCGAGTCATCCAAGTGCAGGTTGGGGGTAGCCCATCATAAGTCGTCGAATTAACCACGAATCGTTGATTGGTCATTGACCGACCCACTCACCGAAAGCTCGGTCAATCAAATGCCGATACCAACCGACCAAATCTTTCAGGCGGACAAACATTACCAGCCTAGCTTCTACAACCCCGAAATCACAGAACCTCAAGATGCCGCCAGACCCAACGATCGACGACGAGGAATACGAGTCCTCCCAAGACTCTGACTTCGCACCCGAAGACGCAGCCGGTGCCGATGGCGGTGCCGAGTCTGAGGCAGAGGACTCTTCCGACTCCGACTCCGAAACCGCGAAGACCAGCAAGCGCAAACGCGACGCTGCCGCGGGCGATGAGGCAGACGATGCGGGGTTTGAGAACTCGGGCGACGAAGCGCTGATCAAGAAGGCGAAGAAGAAGCGCAAGAAGGCGAGAAGCGGCGATGGGGCGCCAGACGGGGATGACGAGGGCGGCGAGGGAGGGCTGGTGAAGACGCGGAGCATGCGCGCTGCAGAGTGAGTTGTCGCGTCGTTTTCAGTCACACAGTGGTCCTCAAATGCTGACTCGGTGCATCAGAAAAGTAGAGCGAAAGATGGCTGCTGCTACCGGGCCGGTGACGGTCGACGTCGACGCGATTTGGGCACAGATGCTCGCGGGGCAGACGACGACGCAACCGAGCCAAGAACAGGGCGCCGGAGAAGCGGACGCCACCGCGCAGCCTTGCGGCACAACAGACGCGCAAAAGCAAACCGACGCACCGGAAACCGAGCCCTCAGATATGATCCGCATCAAGCGAACGTACAATTTTGCCGGAAAAGTGCAGACAGAGGAGAAGCTCGTGCCGCGCGACTCGGCCGAGGCGAAGCTCTACCTCGCCTCCCTGGGCAAGGACGCACCCGCTGATGAAGGCGCCGCTGAGCCGGAAGAGCCCAAGAGGGTACTGAAGAAGGCATTCCGTTCGGCGTTCGAGCCCACCATTGAGATAGTCGGGCAGCGGTCCGACTTGAACCTGGGCATGACGGTGCGGATCAAGGCGCGCGAGAAGCAGGCGCAGGCGAAGAAGCTCAACACGGTCGAGAAGAGCAAGATGGACTGGGCCGGGTACGTGGACAAGGAGGGCCTCAAGGACGAGTTGGAGCTGGCGGGGAGGTCCAAGGAGTCCTACGCCGGGAGGCAGGACTTTTTGGCGCGCAGCGAGGCCAAGAGGGAGGAGGAAGCCCGGCGGGCGAGGATTTCGGGGCGTGTATGAAAACTTTCATATGGATATTGGGTGGCTTTGGCGTTTGTTTACGGCAGATTGGAAGAAGAGATACCCCTTGCTCACACAGATAACTACATTCTCGCTGTCCCTCTTTCACAGCTTCGTGTCCTTCCTCTGCGAGCCGGGCGGCAGAATCGCAATGTCCTGAAACGGGACGCTCAGGAACTCGTACAAGAAATGGAACCTGTCGCTGCCGAAGAAGGGCTCCTCCTTGCCCTCGTCGTTCACGGCCCAGAACCACGGGGCGCCGAACGCGCCCCTTTCAACCGCCTCCTGCGTCTTAGCCTTCACCGCGTCCTTGATCTCCTGCGTCGCGGTGCCCTCCATGATCTTCTTCACGTCGGCCTCGCTGAACAGCTTGGCCTGGGCTCCCGCAGGTGGCGGGTACTCCTGCGGCGCGTCGGCCAGCGCTTTGACCAGGACGTCGAGCTTGGTGAGGTTCATGTTAGGCGGCTCCCAGAAGCAGTGTAGGAGCCAGTGCCAGGCTGTCTGGTAAGCTGCGTCTGGGTAGGTCTTTTTGATGAAGTGCAGGGCGCGCAGGGGCAGGATCGTCATGCTGCGGTCCATGAAGTCTGGGGGCGTGGTGATGTCGGGTTTGCCGATGCGGATGGAGGAGCGCCGGGCATCATGAGTGCCGTACTTCGCCTTTGCGGGGAGTGTCCATGGCGGCTTGTTTCCTGCGGCGGTCTTAGTGGAGGCAGGGCTGAATGGAAGGGGGCTGACGTACCGGATGCCGCGTTGATACCGCCGAGAAGTACGGGATGGAGGCTGCCGGGCGATGAGAGGTGAGACTGAGTTCAGCAGGTGAGGGGTGAGAACGGACTCTAGCCTGACACCATGTGCGGCGAGAGCACCCTGGCTCTTGATGATGTAGTAAAATGCGATGTAGCTGTACAGAGATGCTTGGTTGCCCAGTCAGTCTCACAGGCTTATCTGCTGCACACCGAGACTCACCGATATCAATGTACACATCTACTTTGCCGCCCATCTTGGCGACGCAGGACCGAACTATTTTTTCGACAGGCTTGGTCTTTCTGGACGAATGGGTTCGAGAACGCGATGGATAACCCCGACAGTCGCGATGTCGCAATCGCTCAAAGTGGGAAAGTTGTTAAATAACCGGGTGATGTGGTAGGTATGAGGTGAAGTCGCCAGAGTGGGGTTACATCCTCGGCACAGCTGGAATCTGGGGAAGCTCCTAGCTCCGGGGTGGATGATCACTAATACACATCACCGACAACCGACAACGTGCGACACGACAAATCGAAGTAATCAAGGCCGAGAATGTTCAAATTCTAATTCTAGGAGAAGAAATCTTGTGGATCTTGAAAGACCTTCAAAACCCCGTCAATTCAAACGGTTAATAGTGTCATTCACACAATCCATCATCTTTCATACATAGCAACCCCTGCCAAGCTCAGACTTCAGCTGTCAAGATGGCCTCACCGAAGCAAGTCGCTCTCGTCGTAGGCGCATCAAGAGGCATAGGACGTCAAATTGCCATTGATCTTGCAAAAAATGGCTACGCCGGTACAACCCCTCGGCATTTTGCCCAGCTACCTTACGACCGCTAACAAGGATTACAGTCGTCGTAGCCGCAAAGTCAACAAGCGACGCTTCCAAAGTCTCACCCTTCCCACCAGACCCAAACTCACAAGCCTCGACAATCAGCACCGTAGCCCGCGAAATCCACGAGGCCGTCGGCGACGCAACGCCCATTGCCGTGGACGTTCGTGACCAAAAAAGCATCACGCGACTCGTCGACCAGACAATCCAGGTACAATCCCTTTCCTTCACCGCACACTCACAAAACTCACCCATCGCCACAAAGATATACTCCCGTCTCGACGTCCTAGTTTACAACTCCGGCGCAATATGGTGGGCCTCCGTGGAAGACACGCCCCCCAAACGCTTCCAGCTCATGCAGCGCGTCAACCCAGAGGGCCTCTACCTCACCCTGCATGCCTGCCTCCCGCACCTCAAGCGCGAGGGAGCCGGCCGCATCGTCGTCGTCAGCCCGCCCATCTACAGCCGCTTCTTCCTCGGAAAGACGGCCTACGCGATGGGCAAGGTCGGCATGAGCGTCTTGACCAAAGGTCTAGCCATGGATTTCGCGAGGCAGGGGTTGGACAGGATGGCCATCACCAGCATCTGGCCCGCTGTGGTATGTTTTCTCCTTTATTGCAATCAAGTCCTCGGCAGTGTACAAGATATTCACCTATCTGCAATTTCCAGGCAATCGAATCCGCAGCCACGCAAAAGTTTCAGGCGTCAAATCCAGACGAGACCAAGGACCTGCGTAAACCCACCATCTTCTCAGATGCGGTGCTTGCTATCGTGCGAGCCCCGGCGAGTGTCGTGAATGGCGAACTTGTGCTCGATGAGGACTTCTTAAGAGACCACGCGGGTGTGACGGACTTCTCCAAATATGCCCTCGTGCCTGGATCAAGTCCGCGTAGGATTATGCCTGCAGAGCTCCCGGACTTGACCGTCAAGGAGCAGGATGATGAGGGGAAGAGGTACAGCAGTGCAAAAGCAAAGATATGAAAGAGACAAATCACTGCCCTGACGTGATGTTGATGCAACTATTGTCTATTGCCTGCCGCGCTACGCAGGCAGGATGCGGTGCTTCTCGGTATAGTGTACTTTATCAAAGAAAATGAGGTCGTCCTGTCGCTCGCAAACTAGTAGACCCTTTCCGTGTCCCCTTTCCCCCTCGCCAAATCCTTCTCTCCGCAATGCCGAAAGAATGTTTTGAAAAACCAAACAACAAATGTACTATTTTTACAAACCCTTTGCAACACTATCTTCTCTCCTTTTACACCTCCTGGCTCTGCTGGAAAAGCCCTTGGGTGTTTTCGATGTCGCTTATCGTCTCATTAAACACCTTGGTGAGGTCTCCAAGAACCTTCATACGGTTCCACTCATGCCTCGTGCGCCAGATTTCGTCCATCAACTCGCGGTTGATCTGCTCAAGTTGCTCAATGGTGCAGCCCGATGTCCCCTCGGTCAACTCGTCAAGGAAATTCTCAACCTGTTCCTCGTGGATAACAGGCTGTTGCTGCGACAAGGACGAGCCGGAATTTCGAATCTCTTCGCCTGGCGAGTCGTTCAGGATGTTAACCAGAGTCGGGGCATGCGACTTGGAATCCCCCGAGCTTCTAGACTTGTTAGGTGATGAGTTCTGGCTACCTGGCCCGCCCATTGAGGGACGTATGACACCGCGCGCGATGCCTTGGGCCTGGGAGTGTGGCCAAATTTCGTCGCTCGAGGTGGCCTGGCTAGCCTGCATGCCGGCTGGGATCTGCGTGTCTTGCAGCTGAGAATTATCGCCCTGGCTCTGCTGCTCGCCGTGCACACCATTAGTGCCTTGTGTCCACTTCTCTCCCGACGATCTTTGAGACGGATCGGACGTCTTAGTCGTTGACGCATCGTTCAGTAGATCTGAAGGAGACATGCCAGGAGGCACCGTGGTGATCATTGACTTCTGAGAAACCACGGTTGTGCCGGTTATCGCGCCCGTTGCTTGGTTGCCCTGTGCCGGCCACTGAGGAGGCTGCATAGATGAGCTGTCCTGGGTGGTGTCATCATCGACTCCGCTCATGTGAACGTCGCTTTGCCGTGATGGGTTGGACGTTCCATTGCTCTGGGGAGGAACAGCAGGGCCGCCGCTAGGTCCCGGGCTCATAACCTGGAAGCGAGCCATGGCATGAGAAGAGCCAGGGATGCGCTCGCCCAAGGTGACAGGTCCTTGAGAGTCGCTGTCATTACCTCCGGCTGCATCAGTTTGGACGCGATCGACGATGGACTGCATAGCCTTCCTCTTTCTCTCCTTCTCGGCTGCAGCTCTGGCACGTTGGACTTGTCTCTGGTACAGAGACTCCCAGTCCACGGTGGCTGTGTTGCCTTCGATAGTCGCGACATCAACCTCGACATTGCTTACAAGCTCGTTCGCCTTCAACGTGCGCTCCTTGTCGCCGATGTTCTTGGAGTCCCTCGCAAGAGATTTTATGTCTTTGAGGAAGTCCTTGGGACGGCAATAGTACCCGTTTGAAAGACGCTCCTCGATGGTCGTGGTTTCCAAGTTGGAGAACGTCTTGCCCGTGGCCGTTTCGCGAAGCACGTCATCGCCGTATTTGTCCTTCACGATCTCGAATGGCCGAGGCTCGACACCTGCCAGGTCGGGGCGCACGAAGTTAATTTGGTTCTCGGCGAAGAGGTAGTCGAGTTGGCTCTGTGGAATGACGGGCTGTCTGAACTTTTTGTACTTTCTGTTGATCTGGTCCATGATTGGTTGAAGTTGTACTTTAAGAATGTTGAGAAGCTGATGATCGCGCTTCTGCATGGCCTTGACTTCTTCCTTTGAAGGCACCTTGGGCGGTGGCGGCGGAGCGACTGGGAGCTGGTCCAAGATCCTCTTCTTCCGGTTGGCAGGGTCAGGGAACTCGGCCGGGCTCTTGCGGACATGCTCCACGATTGTAGAGAAGTATTCGCGTCGGTTGGGCTTGGTCATGTCAGTCAGTGCCTAGTTATGAAAAGAGAAGCGCGAGTACTCACATGCTTGGGTCGCTCGATCTGAAGCCGGTTCTTGCGAGAAAATGCAAACAGCTCTCGGACGAGGGCTTGAGAAAGGCTCTCGCCAGCCTCATACTCCGAAGTCGCCAGCAACAAGATAGGATCCGTTGGCGGAATCGACTTTAGCATGGCCTTGAAGGTCATGAACGGCAAGCTGTCCCGCAGTGATGCATACCAAGACTCGATGCCAGGAATGTAGATGACACTGGGCTTGTGTCTCTTGACTTCCGTAAAAAGGCCAACGATGACCTGTTCCATGGGCTACAGATAGTTTAGTACAAACACCACAAAAAGTGAAAAGAAGAACTTACCCGTCCATCAGCAAGCAAATTGGGAAGGCCGAAGTTTTGCACCTGGACACCCTCGAAGTAGTGAAGAAGCGCAGATGACAGGTAACTCTGGCCCATGCCGGCAAACCCATGGATCAGGAAGCGTGGGCGGAACACACGAGATCGCTCGAACTCTTGATGCATGGCCTCGCGTCCAAACCCGTGGTCTTCGTCGTCAAACTGCTCGTACATTGCCTCCTCAAGCGCTGTGAGCTTTTTCTTGCGAGGAAGGACCTCGTCGAGAGCCTTCTTGATAGAGTCGAATTGATCACGCAACAGTGGCTCGATTCCCTTGGGCAGCGGAGCTGCGCCTGTGCCAGCAGATCTTTCTGAAGAGGGCACCATCTTCTTGATAGAGATCATGAAGTCGGTGGCATGAATGCTGATGTTTTCGGGGTTGACGATGAGCTTGTCTTTTGAGGAATAAATCTGTGGGTACGTTCTTTGGATGGCATTGAGAGCAGCCTCAGTGCAAAGTGCTCGGAGGTCGGCACCACCATAACCCTTGGTGTTCTCCGCAAGCGATTGCTTGAAAGGTTCTGAAAGACCCCAGTCCTTGGTGTGAATCTCAAGAATTGATCGACGGCCCTCTACGTCAGGAAGAGGGAAGTAGAACTCTCGATCGAATCGACCAGGTCTTCTCAGCGCAGGATCGATGTTGTCTGGACGGTTGGTTGCTCCGATGACGATGACCTGTCCACGGCCGTCCATACCATCCATCAACGCCAAAAGCGTTGACACGATCGACGCGTGAATCTGCTCCTGTTTACTAGAACGTACTGGAGCTAGACCATCGATTTCGTCGAAGAAGATGATACTTGGTTGCGTTCGTCTGGCTTCCTCAAACAACAGCCGCAGCTGCTTCTCGGCTTCACCAACCCACTTGCTCAGGGCATCGGCTCCCTTGCGCATGTAGAAGGTGATCTTGCGGCCACCAATACCAACAGAGTTGGCGAGGGCACGGGCGAGGAGAGTTTTACCGGTACCGGGAGGACCGTGGAAGAGGACGCCTCGCGGGGGTGTGACGTGGAACTTTTGGAAGAGCTCGGGGTACAGGAGAGGTAACTGAACCATTTCCTTCAGCTGGTCGATGTGACCTTGGAGACCACCAACTTGGTTGAAGTCCACGTTAAGGTCGACACCAAGAGGATCGGCATCAGCGAGGGCCTTTGTGTTTTTGACCTTGCCGACGTTGGGTGTTGCGCCGACACCAGCACCTTCACCACCCACAGGCTGCGCGAGACCAGGGAGCAGGCCACCTGGAGCAGCAGCCGACGTGGGAGTCATGCCAACATTTCCGGCGGCGCCAGAACGTCCACCCATTTCATCGTCACTGCTGTCGGAGTCAACACCTCCAGCAGCGCCGGTGCCCCAAGGTCCAGCGAGAATGGAGCCTGCACCGCCTCCGCCTCCGAAGGGACCAAAAGTCGTGTTGAGAGCGCGGTCCCATGCTTGACTGGCGCCTCCACGTCCGTTACGGCGCCGTGCAGGGGTCGGGGCGGGGTCCTCACCATCGTCTTCCTCTATGTTAACGGCGGAAAGAGGAGGCATGAAGTAGTTCATTGGCTTTGCTGCGGCTCTGCGACGCTTCGACGCAGTTTCTTGGTAGATGATTGCGGGTGAAGGTCGCCTTGTGCGCCGAGAGCGCGAGTCTTGTCGAAGTTCGTGGAGCTCCTCGGCAAGCTCGTCATGGTCTAGCTCGACTTCATCCCCGGACTCGGCCCCACGGCGCGAGCTTCGGGTGGATCTGCCCTTGGGCTTAGCAGCTCTACCGCGCGGGGCCGGGCTGTCAAAGTCGCCATCTTCAGCATCGGCGGAATTCTTCTTGGTGGGCGAGTCGTCGGACATGTGCGCGTCTTCCGCCGACTCTTCGCCGGGCTCGAAATCGCTACTGGGCTCCTGAAGGGATTTCGACTTTCGAAGTCCACGGCGAGTGAGACGCCGTGTTGGGGCGTCGCCATCAGTGGGTTCCTTGGGGTCTTCCTCAGGTTCCGCAGCTGAAGGTCCAGATGCACTTCCCCTCTTGGCTCGGGTCCGCCGTGTGATTGGACCCTCGTCCTCTTCATCGTCATCATCAGCTGCAGCATCGGGATCCACCTCGGTCGATTCTTTGATGGCATCTTCCATTACCGCATCCTTGCTATCGACAATCTCCTCGGTGTCTGCAGCCACTGGCTCCGCATCGCCGGCCAACTCATCGGCATCGGCGTCATCGTCGCGACGGAAGCTGCTCTCCTGAGTTGCTTCCTCAATCGTGTCTGGTGCCTTCTTCAGTCCCTTAACTGAGCGGGAGTTACGAGTGCGAGCAAAGGTTTCCGGGCTTCGACTCTTAGAAGCACGCTGCATATGCCTGCCCGAGTTGGTCAACTCGACATGCTCTTCCTCGACCTCGGCTGTCCGGGCGCGGGTAGATCTCCTAGTGACAGGTGCAGCAGAAGCCGGATTCTTGGGCACCTTCAGCTTGATCATCAAGGATTCCTTCTTCTTCTTGGGCTTGGCGTGGTCCTCGGAAAGCTCGTCTTCGGACGCTTCAGCTTCTTCAGACTCAGACTCGCTTTCACTCTCCTTGTAGCTGTTGTGCTTTGTTGCGGCCTTCCTGGAACGGCGACCGGCAGCGTTGACGGGAAGATCTTCTTCCTCCTCCTCTTCTTCCGAGACGAATGAGCCCTCTGCCATACTATCAGAGACATCCTCATCATCGTCGTCGATGTCAGATCCACGATATTTGTTCGTGCGTCTTCGGCTGCCGCCGCCTCCACCGCCAGAGCTCTTGGACTTTGAGCCGCGCGATCGCTTCTTGCTTCGTGCGGGTGGCTGGTCGGTACCGGGCTCGAAGTTCTCATCATCGGAATCCGACTTGTTAGGATCGAAGTCCTCGATGTCGCGCTTACGTTTGGACGGCATCGTGGCGTGGGTGGATTATTAATGGCAGGTGCGGATCGGTTGTGCTTTCGCGTTCTGATTGTTGTGCACGCTGGTTGGCGATGAGCAGCTGCTGCCTGTTGTCGCGAAGAGGTCTGTTTACGTGGTGTCAGCATCCACATGCACTTGAGTATCATCAAAAAAGTGTCTGAGATGGCGAAGATATCAAAGTTGATCTGTATTGGGGCTATTGGGAGGTTGGTGGATGCAAGGAAGGCTCACCTCTGTCTTAGCGCTTAGGGAGAAAGCAAGAACAATGGAAGCGGACGTCAGGTGGTGGTGCAGCAGTGCGCCATTGGGGTTGCGACGATGCAAACGCGAAAAGTCAAGGTGGCCTTGATGTCTGCGACGTGCGTCGTTGGCGATCCCGGGCTGCGTGGAGATGGGCTTGACCACAGGCTGGTGATAGGTTCAGATTCGCAGAAAAATCACCATCGCGCGTTCCACGTCTTGCGCGCCAGGCGTTCACACTCTTGGGCGAGAAGGACGGGGAGTCAGTAGAGTGGGTCTCACGTGCAGACACCAGCCACAAGTGGTCCGAGCGGCGCTCCTTTCCACCTCTGAGGTTGCCATTTCAAGCAGCAGCCATTGGCTGGACCCATCTTTCCGCAGTTCAACGGGAAATCTTGGGGGCCTCAGATTCAACAATCGCGCATCTCTGATACCGAATTCTCTCGACCCGAAGCAACTTGGTCGGCATGTGTTTTGCGTCTGCTCAAGCATCGTCAGTGTCCTGTCAACCGATTTTCGTCTCGACCTACCGCAAGTCTGAAGCATGTCAATCACCGTGCAAGGATTGACGGTGCTCATCGGCGCGCGAGGTTAAAAAAGTCGGGCCCGGGGTAAGTGGGCGTCGAGTGTCCACCACAAAATGTCGCGTTGTCGCGACCACGGTACCACTCGAGGACAGCAAGAGACTGGTATTACTGAGACGAAGTGCGACTCTGGTCAAGTGCATCTGAACTGCCGAAGGGGATGCAAGTCGGGCCGCCGAGACCTCACACCGACTTCGTGGGCATGTGGACTGCGGCGCAGATATCTGCGAAACATCGAACGATGAACAGCAATGATGTCATTTCAGATTGTTCCTCGTTGTCGGGCCTCAGTTTGCGCCGTCTCTGACTGCGGTGCGGTTTCCAGCTCTCGAAGAGGCCCAATGCTCCAGGAGTTTTTGAGGGCATGTCTATCCAAGTAATCTCAACCCCGACGTCAAATTTTCAGCTGCAGTCCGCCAGAAAACTTCCAAACTTCATCATCGCATCCTCATCATGGCGGCTCAACACCAAGCTTCGCCAATTCGACCCTTTATCAGCCCTACAGAGTCCGAGTCTGGGGTAACCTGCGGTTTTTAGGTTCCGGGCCGCCAAGCTCAGGAACGTGGCCGGGGAACGTGGCTGGTGTATTGATGCCCCCTGGTTAAGGCATCTGCATGGAAGAAGTGGATCCATGCCTTGCGGCCTGAACGTGGCTCGGTGCGCCCGAGTAAGCAGGCAGCAATCTATCAAAACATCACGTGCAGAGGCGCCCAGAAGCAAACGACGCTAAACCATCGGCGTCGTCCGAACATGCGGGCCGGATGCGACTAAACCAATGCTGCTGACGACGCTGCTGTGCCGACGAACCGTTCCTATTCGCAGATACGCAAATACGGAAACTCGACAAGGAGTCACGGGATTCATACCATGCAGAGCCTTGCATAATATCGGTTTCTCGCGTCCCTCGGGCCTCGTGCTTTCGCGACCAGCCAAATGAGGCTCGGAACTCTTTACGAGCAGCAGCTTGAGTTTCCTCATGCGGTCGTCATCGACGGGCCTCAAACCAACCGTCGCATACCTGTCCCTTGTTCTCTCCTGGGCATGTGCAAGCTAATTGCCTAGCACCAACTTTGAGGCCATCACCCAACAATCAGCCCAGTAATGTCGTCCTGCAGATCCTCGCGTATTTTGCAGCTAACAGGGAGGACGAATGCGGAACAACCACGCACAGGGAGAGCGTTGGACAGCCTGCGTTAGCTGTTGCCTTACGAGGCCATCCCCACCTGCGGTTCGCACTCGGTCGCATCGATGGGGAAAGCATGTTCAGCAGACCGGCCTCAGTGGGTCCACCAACGACCGGCAACCCGGCCAAGTCGGTAAACGGCCACTCGGGGCACAGCATTTTAGACCACCGAGCTCCATGGCGACGTCAATCCATGCCGACCAAGCGGCCGAGAGCGCGAGCCAAGAATAAGCAGCCGTGCAGCCGCATCCAGAACAGACATCCTCTCAAGCATTTAAGAGAGGGACACCCCGAGGTCTAGACGAGTCTTTCCAACTCATCGTGTAATCTTGCCTCGACTTCACACCTACACATCAAGCAACATCGAAAGCCACAAACCAATCGGCTTCAACACACATCAAACACTTTCAAAGTCAAACACCAACCACAATGTCTTCTAACCTCTCCGCCCCCAACTTCGAGATGCAGCGGCCCAAGAGCAGCCGCGCCGGCTCCGACGCAAGCTCCATCTCCACTGACTCCTTCACCACCAGAAGGGCAGTCTCCCAGGACTCTCCGCGCCCGGCGAAGAGAAAGTCCTCCCACTCCCAGACGGTCAACGTCTACACCCACTGCGGGCGTCACAGCTCCCAGTTTCTCTTTGGCGGTCGCTCATTCACCGACATGGCGCGCTCCATCTTCAAGCGCGACTAATTTGTTTGTGAGCCGGTGTTCTTCTGCAAGAAAAGACAAGAAGTCAGAAAGCACCTTAGCGAGCAAAAGTCATCACCCACAGACGGTTGATCCAACCGTTCGCCGTCGCCGAATGCGACCGGCAGCAGACCCGCCAAGAAGACGGCGTGACCGCAGGGCTCCACAACGGCTCGAACGGCTCCAGAAGGCGGCGCCAAGCGGGAACCCGCAAAAACCGCCCTCCGATGTTTCCTGCCAGTGTCCCTTTTGTTTGATGCGGAACATTGATCTGCAGAACACCGGATGCGGCGTAAACAAACGCGCAAGTCCCCTCGGCGCCAAGACGTGGAACCGTCCCGGGACGAGAAGCGCATTCCAGCCTCCTCCTCCTCCTCCTCCTCCTCTCCCCTTCTCATCAAGAACTTCCTTTCTGTCACGTCACGCAAGACAAGACAAGACATTTGGGGGCGCGCAAGGGGAAACAACATCTCCACTCCACCCCTCATCCCATCTCACCTTTCGTAATTTTACGGGGGAACTGATTGCTGGCGCCTTGGCAGCGGTGAAGCCACGAGTAAGGAGGATGAGCTTGAATTGTGCCAAGCAACGGGACCGTTGAAACAGAAGACGCTCCAGCCAATCAGAGGTCGTTCTGGCCACGTCCCTCGTCAACTTCCAGCCTGCTGCTGCTGCTTGCTCGCCGCCGCATTGCGGAGAAAGGCAGACGAAATAAATTGACCCCATGGACGACGTGACATCGCTCCGGTCAGAATCCGTCCTGTTCTTTCTCAGCTGCTCCAATTGGCAAGCAGATGGCGATCTCTTCTCAACGACACCGCCCGCGGACCAAACGCATTAGCCGGATTTCGGTTTGTCTTCACGAAGACAACTCGGAGGCGGATAAAGCCCCATGGTTTCCGTAGCCTTCATCCTCAGCTCTTGTCTGAGACAGCTCTGCTTTTTTTTTTATCCTGTCTTCTCATTTTTGATACCAAGTTCCTTGTTCTTGTCTCTGTTTTGTCAATGATACCAGGTAGTCAAACAGTCTACAAAGCACTTGTTTAGCAAATGTTTAACATATTGTGGTCTGAACAATAAAAACTACATTAAAACAAACAAATGTCTTATCTCAATGCCAATTCGTGACCCTGTCGCCGAGAAATCTAACCCCTGCAACTCGTACGCTTATGATGTCGATACCATGGCTCTCTCGCGCCTCTCATCTCTTCATATGGATATGACCGCATGTCATGCATGTATGTACCTGCCATGTCGCCCTCCTCGATGCAATAAGTACCAGTCTAAAAAGCCAGCCCTTTGTACTTGTGCCCGTGTATGCCCCCATCACAGAAAACGCCAGTGAAAAAGCAGAAAAACTCTCTCCATGAGATCCACATCGGCGTAACCCCGACCACCAAGTGGGCATCCTCACCTCATCTCAACCTCTTTCCCCACGCACTTACTCCGCAAACTCCCTTCCCCCAACAAACCACCTAAGGCGACATGGCGTTCAACATGACTCTAGAGTGATCCAGCAGGTTCTTCTGCCCGGGCACGTTCTGCGTGTACCGCGAGTTGAACTTCATCACCCGCTTCGCCGCGCGGAACGTGACGTCGTCCACCGTCAGCGGCTCCGCGACCACGTTCCACGCGATGCCCTCGGTGCACGGCGGCGTCGTCAGGCTGCCGCTGTACTGGTACACGTCGGACCGCGCGAGCAGGTCCTTGAGCTCGCAGAAGTCGAGCCCCTGCGTCTCCGCGTGCGACCCGGGCTCCGCGACCTCGTCGAGGTGCGCGAACACGTTGGCCAGGAACGGCGACGGCGCGGCGTTGTCGACTTCGATGAGGAATCCCACGACGGAGGCGGCGGGACCGGTGGAGTCTGTGGGGGGGAGCAAGATTGTTAGAGATTTATGAACTGCCAAGTTGATACAAATACGAGAGAAGAAAAGATGGCACAAAAAACTTACTCTTGTTCGCCTCCTCGTCCGCCTCAAAGACAAAGTGCACCTCCATGGGGAAGTACTCGCTGTCCACACGGTGCTCGCTCGGCGTGTGGAAGTGGAACTGCTTGAGCGCGTACACCCGCCCGTCCCGCGTCAGCGTGCCGTTCTGCGCGACCACCTCGAGCGTGCTGCCGAGATTCTCGAACACGGCACCGTCCGGGTGCGCCGGCACGTCGAAGCCCAGGCTCGCGCCGGGGACGAGCGTCGCCGAGGTGTCGTTGAGGTTGATGGGCGACTGGTGCGTGCCCGTGGCGCACTTTGAGCTGGCGTTGTTGCGGCCGTGCCAGTTGAGCGGGCCTACGAGGTCGTTGTAGCCGAAGGTTGCGACCTCGACCTCGCCCTCTGCGGCGGAGCGGGCGTAGAGGGAAGTGCGGTGGTGGCAGATTGCCATCGTGAGGGTTGCGAAGGGGAGGAGGTTGGAGGGTCTCATTTTGGCTGGTGTGAGTTGAGTAGACTGCAAAGGAGTAGAGAGCTACAGAATAAGATAAACCTCGAGACTGAGGGCGGGAAGCTGGGGACTCTTTATCCTCCTCAAGATCTCTGGGCACACGATCTCGTCAGATCTTAGAGGAGGGTGTGCGCCGCTTGACTGGCGGGTACGCACAAAGAACAAGCAGGCATTGTTCGACTCGACCTCCAATGAGCCGTCATCTCACGAGGCTGGGTGTGACAAAACAACTTGGCTTCCTCCCCATTCAAGCGGCGTCCAGAATCTTGGCGAGCCCCGTTTCCGCGAAAAAGTGTCGGTAAGGTACGGATACTCCAGTCTCCCCCACGGCCAGGGTACCGGACTGGGGGTCCACGAAGGAGTCCCATGGGGGAGGGAGGGGGCGTCAGTCTGCCAGATGAAGATCACCAAGTCCACTTTCCATCCCCTCGAGAAGCAAGAATGAAAGATGCCAAGACGAAAGGCGGGAGGCGCAGGAGGAGAAGGAGGGGCTTGTAATAAAGTCGCCTTTCTTCTTTGGCTGGATGAATGAGAAAGGAGGGGAGAGAAAAGGCGGATGACAAAAAAGATGCTCCGGTCTACGTAGAAGGAATTAGACGGCTGACACGTCGTTGAACGGGTCGGTAAAAGGCCGTTTGCCGCGGCGAGCGAGGCGCGGAGTACAACGGATGGAATATTTTTTCCCCCTTCAGGCACTCTCACGTACAGAATTTGCCCATATTTGATAGAGAACAGCCACTCGAAGAGCCTCGCTCCAAGTTTATCCTCATAGCCTTTCCCTAAAAAAATCCCGTGTGTGCTCAGCCCTACCTTCGGGTCTTGGTATATGATCTCACATGAACTCCCGAACCGTAAGCAAACAAGCTCGTTGTCGTCCCTCGACGCACACGAGGCAAGTTACGCCAAGACGCATTGCCAACGCTCACCGGCACAACGGTCACCCGCGGAAGATCCTCTCCCCGTCACGAGGCGACTAGCCAAGCGCCCACAACGTGCTTTCAGAAGGACACAAACGGCAAAAACCACGCAAACTGTGAGACAACCATCCTTCGTCCCGAATCCTCGGAAAGCATATCTTCAAGTCGAGTTAAAAGGGCTTCTTCCCAGCAAATCGCAGCCCTACTCAATGCTCACCACGCCACCACCAGTTTTAGACGCTGACAAACGCCGCGTCTAAGTAGCTTTTCTTCAGCGGCTAGTGAATCCTTCAATAATAGACACCGAGAGGCCACATTCGTAGGCCACTCTATTGAAAGAGAGACCACAGCAAGCCCATCAGCTACAAGCCACGCTGGACGTCAGCGCTTGCTGACTATCACCGCCTCGGAGATTTGGGATTGGTGTGACGCCGTTGAAGGTGCGACAGTGCACATGGCCGACGGATATAAGAAGCAAGCAGCCAGGCCAAACAGAAAGAACTCGAACCAAAGCCTGAACTGAACGGCTTTCGCCCGGTCTGGATGTGCCAAGTCCACAAGAAGGGAGAGAGAAAAGTACGGGCCTTTGCCGTCGAGCTTGCCTACTGTGATCGACTCCAAGACCGCTAAGCCTTAAGCGAGGTCCATAGTCCCAACGGTCGTCCCGCAGTGGCTGGGCGCCTTTCCTTGGAACAGCTTCGTGCCGGTTAATTTTCGAGCTAGCGGCAGAGCACGACCTACGAAAATCGAAGAAAAAGTCTGGGGGAGAAAAAAAAAAAAAAAAAGGAGGTGATCGTCTGGTCGATTGCGCTTTCGATTCGCTGAGACATTTCATCTTGGTCCGAGGAACGACGGTCTTGGTGTTTAAATTGACGTCGGTCGGAGGATGGCCGAAGCTGCGCTGCGGGGTTGACGGATGTGAGCAGCAAATTCATCTTGGGAGGCGATATTATCAACGATTCTGGATATTGATGACGGCCCTCGTTTGTGTATTATATTGCACTTTGTTTGTGTCCTGCGTCATTCCAGTGCTTCCAAACTTCATGACAACGCCGCCGCAGCTGTCGAGGAGCGTTCCAGGTCTTGGAGCCAAGAGAATTAGGATCCAGATAATGACGGCATGTCAAGACTTCTTCACATACTCCATTCTGATATTGACCATTTCGGCACTTCGCTCATCAACGTCATGATGATGCCAGAATCGCACGTCTGGCAGGCAAACACAGTTTCAAGTCTGCCTTCATTGAACTGGCTAATATCACACTCCTCAGACGCTTCGCTGAACGCCTCCGTTATGGGCATTTTCGTCCTCATTGCTTCCATCCATGGGCATGACCACTTGATCAGCTCACTGGCAGTGAAGCCGTCACCATCGATGCAGCACCCGATGCAGCTTCACTTGAAGTTCGTTCTCAAGAAGCCCTCGGCGCCCTATTGCGTAAACAAGATTGTCAGCAGACGAAGGTGAAGGTCAAGGATGATGGATTCCTCGGATTTTCGCGAGCAATGCATCCCCTCAAAGGAAGATTTGAGAAATAACAAGGATTAGTAGAAGTTGATCCCGCATCCTCTCATCACATGAAACGCCTCATGGCCGAACAGTCGCCCCAAAGGGCGTCCAACATATGTCTCCCCCAACTCTGCATGCAACTTCCCGAAGCACATCTTGGCGAATATCTGAGAGCAAGGCGTCTCGGAGGGAGTAGCAAGAGTCCGTGTGTTTCCTCAGTCGACCAGCGCAGCAACCTGTGCTGCGTTGTTGCAATGCTATGCCAGACTTGCCGGGTGCCATCACATATGTCTTTGTCGGGAACAGGCAGCGAGGACTGGAAAATGGCTTCGTATGGTAGCGTTTCTTGACCCTCGACTGGCAAGACTCTCCCCGCTCGCCTAATCTTATGTTCGGGTCGAGAGGAACGCCACGTGGACGCAGAACGAAGAGCTTTCGTCTTGATCGGTGGGCTCATAAACTCGACGACAAATCTTACCACTTGGCACGGCTAAATGATGTGGCAGATGGGAAGGTCTTCAAATGCCTATCCAAAAGGTGCATGAGACTTTGCGCGTCGTCCCCAGAAGTTTGATCGATGTCATGTTTGCATCGAATATCACAAACCTTGGGATGGGCAGATAGTCGAGCGTTGCTCCCTCGTGTGCTGAGGCCCACGTCGGTAGGCGGTTGAGGCGAAAGGTCGGCCGTCGGTGCCCGATCGCTATATGATCATCTGCCTGACAATATGCTGTTCATTTACTTGACAGGCAGACGCACAGTGACCAAGGCGGCAATGCACATGCCCGAAAGCAAGTATACGTTCGCATTGCAGACCCCTCAACAAGTAAGGCCATTTTTCTGAAAAGCACTACAGCGATGATGAATGTATATCACCAGGCGCGCCCGTTGCAATCATGATCGGATGCGGGATGAGATGACCCAGCTGAACCCATCGTGGAATGGCATGTCATTGCTGCAACTAACAGCTTCGGTCAGCAGCCATAGGCACATACGCATCTTTAAACACCAAGCAGCCAGCGCCAGCCAGCCAGGCTTGGATTGCGATGACTCTTGATTCCAAAACATCGAGGTCGTTCCCGTCGCGGTTGTATCAAATCCCGGCCCATGGCGGCCACTCGGCGCCGGCGGTGGGGATTTGGAGGCTCACCACCCCCCGTCCCCGGACAAGTCTCCCGGAGCACAACCCAATCCTGAATAGCGGTACTGAACACCACAAAACTTCAGTTATCCCAACACCGGAACAACCCGTGTGGCATCTCCCAAGCATTCCAGCCCGCAGAACAAGCCTCGACTTTGTCTTCGGCCTCACTCAGCTCCCGCAGCTGGTGCAACCTGGCAACCCAGTTCTTGGGCCGGACGAGAGTTGTGCCCTATTTTCCCACCACAAGCAGAAAATGCGAACAGTCCAGGCGCACAACTCAGTGGAACTCGGATGCGTGAGGCTGTCAGCCCAAGGCATCAGAGCCCGATCTCTGCACGACGGCAAGTCCTCCTTGGAGGCCGGAAGCCCTGACACAGTCGCACGGCGTGGGACGAACAACCTGCATGTGGCCGCACACGCACACGGAGTGGACCGGAACGCCGTCCTACGGTGCGGTCGCCGCCTGCAGCTGGAGAAACCTCCACCCGGCTTGGCTCGGGATACTGACTCTACCGGACTGGATGGAGCCCTCTGAGGGAGGACGCGAGTCGGTCTGGCGGTGATGCTACGGCGTACCGTCTGCGAAGGAACGCTGTGTGGGCGCGCTGCTCCGTCTATTCGACTGCTGTCACCGGCTCATCCCTGGCAGGTCGCCTCCGTTGTGGAAGCGAGCGTGGTAGGCATGGTGTCTTTTAGGCCAAATATGGCCAGTTGACGGCAACCGGCGGGGAATAACAGGCGTCCTAATGCCCCCCAGTGTCCAGGGCTGGAGTCCATCTGCATGGGGGACAATGAGCGCTTCCAAGTTGGAACTGAGCAGGTGCCGTATTGAGTGGGTTCGGTGAAGTTGAATCGCCCAGGGCGGCGGGCCATACGACGGGGATGTTTGTGTTGTCCGGGCCCTTTGGGGGAAATCAGCCGCCCGTCCGCCTCAAAGTGTCATGCTATTGGGGGCCGCCCGGTAGCACTGAATGGGAATGCGCGGTCGCCTCGTCTCGCTTCTGCTGTCTATTGAATTGATTTCTTTTATTGGCAACTCAACCACAACTTGGGGGTTACTGGCGTTACTGGCGGTCGCTAAGTATACCTTCGCACGCCTGTCGTTGTACTCAGTATCTCGCTAATCTTTCTCGGAAGAATGGTTGCTGCTCCCGGCCTCGGCAAGACTATGGGAATTGTCCAGACGTCGAGCAGGCATGGACATGTCGAGAAGTGCGGGGGACGAAGTTTGGTTGCCCTCATCTCACCGCAACTGATCTGTCATCTTGGATGGGGCGTCATCACCTCCCCTCCAGCATTGCACAAACTCGGAGCCATGGCCGGTCTTGGCCGTGCGAGTTTGCAAGCCTCGGGATCGTACCCACGGGTGGAG